AACTTAGACCCAGATCATGGTTTCATCTGGGATTCGACGGATCCCCCAACAGAATCATCACAAAGTTGTCCACCAACAGGGTGGCCTCTTATGGATGAAGATGACTACTGAATCAGAAAGTTGGAATCGAATTTCGGCCTACGTGGCTGAAAACAAACGAACTGCAGCACTCGAAAAAGAAATATATGAAGGTACCGCTAAAAACATATTTGGCCAAACAGGAAAAACAATAGCTTCGGAAAGCCGGAGGCTCGACTGTATCTACGACAACGAGCCTTTGGAGTTCGAAAGGGACCTAACCTTCGATGCGCAAAAGATCCAGGCACAAGACTCTCTAGAAGAGATCGACTTGGGGAATGAGATTATTAAAAGACCAACATACGTGAGTACAAAAATTGGTTTAGAGATGAGAGCCAACCTAATCCAGATATTAAGGAATTACAAGGATTGCTTCGGATGGGACTACGACGAGATGCTAGGATTAAGTCGGGAACTGGTAGAGCATCACCTTCCTATTCAACCTGGCAAGAAACCAGTCAAGCAACAACCACAAAGATTCGCTCTAGAAGTGACCCAAAAAATCAAGAAAGAAATCGAAAGGTTACTACAAAGTCGATTCATTCGTACGGCAAGATACGTTGAATGGTTGTCAAACATAGTCCCGGTCGTCAAGAAAAATGACACGTTGAGAGTTTGCATCGATTTCAGAGACTTGAAAAGTGCAACCCCTAAGGAAGAATATTCCATGCCTGTGATAGAAATGTTAGTCGATTCGGCTGTCGGTTTTGAGTATTTAAGCATGCTCGACGGATACTCTGGGTGCAACCAAATTTTCATATCCGAAGAGGATGTTCCTAAAATGGAGTTCCAATGTCCAAGGGCCTTAGGGACATAGAATGGGTCATCATGCCATTCGGTCTGAAGAACGCTGGTGCAACATACCAAAGGGCCATGAACGATATCTTTCATGAATTCATCGAACAGTTCATGCAGATCTATATCGAAGATATAGTCATCAAATCATCGTCGGAGGATAATCACCTGGACCACCTCCGACGATCATTCGAAAGGATGAGAAAATATGGATTAAAAATGAATCCATTAAAATGCGCTTTTGTCGTACACGCAAGGAATTTCTTGGGATTTGTAGTACACAAGAAAGGTATTGAAATAAATTACAACAAGACCAAAGCGATTCGAGATCTGGAACCCACGGCGACAAAGAAGCAACTCCAGTCCCCATTGGGGAAGGTGAACTTCTTGTGAAGGTTCATATCAAATCTAAGTGGTAAGATAAAAGAATTTTCGCCATTATTAAAAGGCAATAAGGAAGGCAAGTTCCATTGGAGACGGGCACAGCAAGAGGCTTTTGAGGCAATCAAAGAATATTTGGTAAAGCCTCCCGTCTTGCTACCACCAAACATAAACAAGAGCATGAAGCTATATATTGCAGCGTCCGACACAACTCTAGGGAGCATGTTAGCTCAGGAGGACGATAATGGCGTCGAAAGACCCATTTATTACCTTAGCCGATTGTTGATTGACGCTGAGATTAGGTATTCCATGATTGAAAAGTTATGCCTATGTTTGTATTTTTCATGTATCAAATTAAAGCAATATATTAAACCCGTCGAGATTCTTGTTTCATCTCATTTTGACGTTATTAAATACATGTTGTTGAAACCTATTTTACACAGTCGAGTGGGAAAGTGGGCTTTGGAACTCACAGAATTCTCCCTTACCTACGTTCCTTTGAGAGCGATGAAAGGGCATATAGTGGTAGACTTCATAGTAGACCATGATGTGATGAACCCACTAGTCAGGTTGATTGGCACAAGCCCGTGGAAGTTATACTTCGACGGTTCCAGGCACAAACATGGAGCCGAAATAGGTGTCTTAATCGTTTCGCCACAGGGTCACCCAACCAAATTCAAATGTGGGGTCGAAGGAAAATGCTCGAACAACGAAGCAGAATACGAGGATTTGCTAGCCGGCCTGAAAATCCTCAGGGATTTGGGCGCCAAGAGCATTAGCATTAAAGGCGATTCTGAGTTAGTCATTAAGCAACTCACCGAAGAATACAAGTGCATCAAAGAAAATTTGGTGAGGTACCTCGCAACCGCCAGAGAACTACTAGGACAATTTGAAGTGGTTGGCATTTCGCACGTGCCCAGGATAGATAATCAGGAAGCCAACGAATTGGCGCAAATCGCCTCGAGATATATCGGAAAAGAAACTGAGAGCACTCATTAAAGTTAAGGGCCAGTCGACAGACAAGTCGTTTGAGGATCAAAAAGCTGGTGAAAAGAACTGCCGGTTGGGAATAAGGAACAGCGGTAGGCACCATGGCGCGATCCCTGTGATAGACGAATTGTCTCCGACAGATTGGAAAAAACTGTTGGTCGACTATCTGACGGAGCCAACAACAGCTACCAACATAAATATCAAATACCAAGCATTAAGCTACGTCCTAATGGGAGGCGAGTTGTTTAAGAAGACG